TTGCTCATGAAGACGTTCCACTTCCAATGTACGCTTTGCGGCTTAAAAGCATGGGATCGAACGGACAACTGATTAGCCACGGCCAAACGAATTAGGCTTAAATGCCCATTCATTTAAGCCATTATGCATGCTAACAATTGGAAAGTAAGAATTTAGAACTTATTAATAGTTAAGGGAGGCGGAGCTTTGGAAAATAAAGGTCAATAATTAAAAAGTGTTGTGCTGTCGTTTTGATGAAAGATAAACCAACACCACGAAATTCATTGGTTTATTTTAAAGGGCAGAGTAGTCATGGAGCTATCCCATTAAAACCACACAAGCGCAATCTAGTTAAAGTGCGGTATTGCCATCCTCCAAAAAACCAAAGTCAATGCTTTTATCATCACTCATTTTAAATATTGCATTGAGAGAGTTCTCGCCAATGGACGCACGCAGTTACAATAATCCAGAGCAGAGAGCCTCCTTAGGTATGATTAATCAGCTTTTGGTGATCGACCACCAGAACCAAGCCTTAAAACATTGACTGAGTAAAACCAGAGCTAATATGCGGTATTTCAGTTTGCTCCTTTCTGCTATGGATAAACTTCGAGGCCCCGTGTCACTTTAACATCTTTCATGTTTGCCTTCTTAATGTTCTCTTACTCTGGAGCCAGGAGTGGAATTAATCAATGCCAAGAACTGAGTGGATAGCTTCAGCCAGCACTTTGTCACTATTCCCACTGAACCGACAGAAAATCGAAGAAGGATAAAAGACTGCTCCCAGTCCTTCTTCGCTTACACGTTCTGCTTCTTCCAAGGTTCGGATGCGGTAACGCCTTTATTGGTAGCACTGAATTTAAAATGGAAATACGTCTTACTAAAAACAATTTGCTTTAAAAACAAATGTGAAAGGTTGAGTCTGATCGTGCTGCTAGTGAGTATGTAATCTGGCCAGCCTGATGGCCTCAACGAGGGTTGGTTAAAGCCATATTCGCAGCTGGAAGGGAAGGTAAAAGGACAGCCTAAAAAAGGAAAGGTAGGGAATTTTGCAAATTTTGGGATGGTACGACACACGCAACTGCTAGCGTGAGGACATAAGCCCCTACATGCTTCTGCATCAGGTCG